CGCCCCCCCCCCGCCAAAGCCCCCGGCGCCCCGGCCTTACCAAGTGCGCTTGTTGTCGAAGAAGAGGACAAGGTAGAGGTGCTCGCGTGCTTCCTGAGTCATCTGCTCCCTCATCTGCTCCCCCAGCTTCAGCACCTCCAAGGGGGGCACGGGGATGGGGACGCCGTGGTGGAACATGCCTTCCCGCGGCATCTTGGGGTCGATGATCTGCCGAAAGAGCGGGGGAGGGCTGAGAGGGGAACGGCGACCCCGAGTGCCTCTCCGTGGGAGGGGGAGGTGGATTTTGGAGGCCCCGACAGCGGGTGGGAGCGCGCGGCCGGCGGTACTCACCAGCGCCGGGTAGGAGGGGTAACCCCGGCACTTGGCCCACACCAGGTCCAGGGCATCCAGGGAGGAATCCTCGTCCTCGGACAGCCACCCCGCGCCACGCCCCATGCCCTTGCGCACCACTGTGCCGGAGGAGAGGGGAGAAGGGAGTCAGCCGTGTCCCCCCCGGGTGACGGGGCCAGCCGGGCGCGCGGCCGCGGTACTTACTGCCGTGCCCCACGCCTCGCCCCGTGCCCACGGAGTAGGACTCGTTCTCCGTCCCTGACGTGTCCTCGCTGCTGTCCTCCGGGAAGTTCACTCTGGAGAAGGAGGGCTTCCCCCTGCCCTGCTTGGAGGGCGTTGTGCTGTGGGGAGAGGGAGCAGAGCTGTCAGTAGGAGCCACGTTAAGCTTCCAGAAACTGCTTTTGAGAGGGCCAGCCTGGCGTCGGGAAGGACTTGGCGGGGGTAGCAGGAAGAGAGGCGGGATGGTGCTTCTGCCGGGGCGCCGGCCGGACCCTCACCCAGTTTCACCCGGGAGGACCCAGAAGACGTGCACTGATCCGAATTAGAGGCGCAGGCAGGAACCTGCCCTGGAGCTGGCTGCCGGAGGGGCTGGTGCCGGAGCGGCCGCTGTGCCAAGAGGGAATTCCCCGGTTCATGCTCCCTACTGGCCCTTTGCTGCACGCTCACACCTTTAGGTTTTACATTAAAAAGAAGGCACAAACCCCGCAGCTTTCTAGGGTTTAGCTAACAGCAGGAGGGTGAACGAGACGGGTACCACCAAACAGGCTCCTCGTCCGGCAACTCAAAGCTGAGAGCCGCCCGCTGCCACCCGGGCAGCACCAGCGCCATCAGAGCTGGGACGGGGACGGTACCTGGTACGGTCCGAGGCGGCGCTGCTGCTGCTGCTGCTGCTGGACTCCGAGTCGGAGCTGCTCCGGGGAAGATTGCAGTCGTTGCGGTACACCAGGAAGCTCTTCTTCACTGGCTGGTTCCCGCTGCTGAAACCGTTGGCTGGCAGGTCTGCAAAACACCCCACCAGAAGAGCGTTACAACCGCACGGGACCCTGCCACGCGCCCCCGGCGGGGCCGCAGCCGCCCGGCTGCGCCGGGG